ACATAAGCGTAATTAATGCCACCTAACTGCATGTGTGAATATTGTAGAAATGGCAAATGTTCTGTTACCTGTATAAAACCAAAAAATCAAACCCACTGCCGTCGAGTTGAGTCTGACTCATAGTGACCCTATAGGACAGAGTACAAGTGCCCTATAAGTTTTCCGAGGCTATAAATCTCTGCGGAAGCAGACTGCCACATCTTTCTCCCACGGAGCTGCTGGAGGTTTCCAACCGCCACCCTTTGGGTTAGCAGTCGATGGCTTTAACCACTGTGCCTCCAGGGCTCCTCTGTTACCTATATACCTGCCAATAATTCTGTTGCCTATATACCGCATGCAGCGCTGAAGGTGCTCACTCGTCTATGCCAAGAAATTTGGAAGACCTCTTTAAAGTGTTCGCAAGCAAAGACGTCACTTTGAGGACTAAGTGCGCCTGATCCAAGCTATGATATTTTTGATCGCCTAATATGCATGTGAAAGCTGGGCAATGAATAAGGAAGACCAAAGAAGAACTGATGCCTTTGAATTATGGTGTTGGTGAAGACTATTGAATATAACATGGACTGCCAGAAGAACAAACAAATCTGTCTTGAGAGAAGTACAGCCAGATGTTCCCTGGAATCGAGGACTGCGAGACTTCTTCTCACATACGTTGCACGTATTATCAGGAAGGAGCAGTTCCTGGAAACGGACATCATGCTTGGTAAAGTAGAGGGTCAGAGAAAAAGAGGAAGACTCTCAGGGAGATGGATCGACAACAGTGGCTGCAACAATGAGCTCATGCATAGCAATGATTGTGAGGATGGTGCAGGACCGGGCAGTGTTTCATTCTGTCCTACACAGGGTCGCTATGAGTTGGAACCGACTCGATGTCACCTAACAATAACAATATACCTGCCAATCAATCAATCAAAATTTATTATCACAAATATCACTGCAAGACCTGCCATTCATTTGCATGGGGCCTTGCACATTTAATAACACACCTTCTAAACAATCTCCTTCACAAAGTCTTACACTTTTCCTATTCTTTTTAGAAAGCAGATCCAAACACATTTAAAGTCTGCGGCTTTAAATTTTATTAACTGTTTTTCTCCTCTGTCATGCTTGGAGCCTCCTGTCGCAGCAGTTGAACTTGGCACACCTCTGTATTTTCTAAATCAGCATTTTTTTCTAATAATGTCACAACTATGATGAATCCCCAAAACGTCACACTCGCAACTGTCCTTTACAAAAAAAAACTGAAAGTCTCAACACTTTTGCTATCAACAGATAAAATGGGTGACTTTTTCAACTCCCTGCAAATAATGATATAAGAAAATTCAGGTCTACAAGGGGACCGTCTTACACCAGGACATTTAATGAGGTTGTGAGAAGCACTGGGAAACCCTGCTGGTGCAGCTGTTAAGAGCTCGGCTGTTAATCAAAAGGTCGGCAGTTCAAATCCACCAGCCGCTCCTTGGAAGCTCTATGGGGCAGTTTTACTCTGTCCTATAGGGTTGCTCTGAGTCAGAATCAACTCAACAACAATGGGTTTGGTTTGGTTTAGTTTGCGGAGCATTGGAAGCCAATCAAGTTTTCTGTACGACCCCTCCATTGTCAACACTTCCTTCAGTTTTTCAAGGTGAAGACTTAGCCCTTCTCAAATGTTTTCTGTCCTTCTTGTTGGGTGCCGTCAAGTCGATTCCAAATCATGGTGGCCCCATGTGTGATAGAGTAGAACTGCACTCCATAGGGTTTTCTTAGCTGTAATCTCTTCCAGAGCAGATCTCCAGGCCTTTCTCTCATGGCACCGCTGGGTGTGTTGGAACCACCGACCTTGAGGTTAGTAGTCAAGCACAAACTGCTGGCACCATCCAGGCTCCCTGTACCTCCTACTGCTTCCAATTAATTCATCAGCAAGTATGTCAGAGAGAGTCCTTCCCATGCCCACCACCAGTGCTAACTCTGTCCAGGTGCCATCTTCTCTAGCTAAGCCAACAATGGCTGGTCTCAACTGTTCTTCCTTCTCCCACTTTCACTTCCCTACGATCTCTCCAACCACAGCAACCTGGTGATTTTTTTTTATTATTATTATTGTACTTTAGATGAAGGTTTAATGAACCAATAGTTTCTCATTAAACAGTACACATATTGTTTTATGACATTGGTTAACAACCCCATGACATGTCAACACTGTCCCTTCTCAATCTTGGGTTCCCTATCACCAGCTTTCCCGTGCCCTCCTGCCTTCTCGTCCTTGCCCCTGGCCCGGTGTACCCCTTTAGTCTCATTATGGGGCTGTCTAATCTTTGGCTGAGTGGCGAACCATAGGAGTGACTTCATTACTGAGCTAAAAGGGTGTCGGGGTGCCATACTCTCGGGGTTTCTCCAGTCTCTTTCAGGCCAGTAAGTCTGGTCTTTTTTTGTGTTAGAATTTTGTTCTCCATTTTTCTCCAGCTCTGTCCGAGGCACTCTGTTGTGATCCGGAAACCTGACGATTTTTTGAAGGATAAAGTCAGGCCGGAAGCACCAGTGATTCCGTGGTGGAATCCTTGCCTTCCACACCAGAGACCCAACTTGGATTTCCGGCTGATGAACCTCATCTGCACCCACTGCCTGTCTGTCAGTGGAGGCTGATGTGTTGGTAGGATGCTGGACAGGTTTCAGTGGAGCTTCCAGACTGAGACGAACTAGTACTGTCTAGGGGACTGGGTGGAGCAACGGTTCGCACTCAACCACTGATCAAAACGTTGGCGGTTCAAAAGGCCTGTTGCGGTGTAACACACGGAGCCCTGGTGGCACAGTGGTTAAGAACTCTACTGTTAACCCAAAGGTCAGCAGTTCAAATCTACCAGGCGCTCCTTGGAAACCCTATGGGGCAGTTCTACTCTGTCCTACAGGGTCACCATGAGTTGGAGTCAACTCAACTGCAATGGCTTTGATTTTTGATTAGATTCCACCCAGAGGTTCCTCGGAAGAAAGGCCTGGTGATGTACATCCCAAAAACAAGGCATTGAAAACCGTACGGAGCACGGTTCTACTCTGACACACATAGGGGCACCATGAGTTGGGGTCAACTCAATGGCAACTGGTTTACTGGTTGATCTGAAGTTCTCTCCTCCCAACCCCAGGGATCTCCCAACTTAGGATGCCAATCTTGCATCCCAGCCATGACTAACTTCTCCTTTCTGGTCAAAGCAAAGAGAAAACTCTGGCACTTCCAGTCCCCTTGAATGCCCCCTGCCATGTAGCTCCGGATGTTGCAGAGAAAGGTTCACGCGTTCTCAAAATAAGTAGTAGCACTGTAGCTTTGTTTATTCCCATTGAGTCAGTCCCTGACACTCTCCGTGTAACGGAATGAAACACTGCCCGGTCCTGTGCCATCCCATGATTGAACCGTCGTGATCCACAAGAAATTCAGTGGCTGATTTTCAGAAGTCAGTCGCCAGACCTTTCTTCCTAGTCCCTCTTCGTCTGGAAGCTCCGTGGAAACCTGTTCCGCATCACAGCAACTCACAAGTCTCCACGGGCAGACGGGTGGTGGCTGCACATGAGGTTCACTGGCCGGGAATTGAACTCAGGTCTCCCACGTGGGAGGCGAGAATTCTACCACTGAACCACCACTGCCCCACCTGTGGGAGGAGAAACCCTGTGAGACCTTTGTCACCAGTATGGAGAGACTTGGGATGTCAATTACTCAGTTATGATGTGGGGCAACTATTTCCTAGGTGCTCCTACAGGTCCCCTCTGTCCACGAGGAAACAGAACAGCATGCTTTGCCCCAAAAAAGACCCTTTAAATTAAGGATTTGTGAGCTCGTCATCACGGTGATGAACCTGGAGAACCTGGACCAGAACCAGGCACCACCTCTAGGCGACCCTGGGGGCTGGATAACCAGTCCCATGTCACCGAGCAGAGAGAAAGGTCCCAGAGCAAGGGCACAGGATGGGTCATCTGGGATGGAGCCCAGAATGTTCTAGAACATGGGGAGAAGAACCAACAGACAGGTCATGCCGATGGATAAAGCACTCGGCTGCTAAATGAAAGGTTGGAAGTTTGAGTCCACTCAAAGATGATGTGGAAGAAAGGCCTGGTGGTCTACTTTTGGAAAATCAGCCATTGGGAACCCTATGGAGAACATTTCTACTCTGACACACATGGGGTCACCATGAGTCAGGGTCAATTCAATGGCAACTGGTAGATAGATAGATAGATAGACAGATGGGTAGGTGGGTAGGTGGGTTAGGTGGGTTAGGTGGGTAGATGGATGGACAGACAGGTAGATAGACTCATAGATAGATATACATATAGATGGTTAACATGCTCAGCTGCTAAACAAAAGCTTGGAGGTTCCAGTCCACCCAAAGATGACGCAGAAGAAAGGTCTGGTGGTCTACTTCTGGAAAATCAGCCCTATGGAGAACACTTCTACTCTGACACACATGGGGTCACCATGAATCAGGGTTAATTCAATGGCAACTGGTTGATAGATAGATACATAGAATATATATAAAATACAGACTGTTATATGTGGAGCCCTGGTGGTGCAGTGGTTAAGAGCTCAGTTGTTAACCAAAAGTTCAGCAGTTCAAATCCACCAGCGGCTCCTTGGAAACCCAATGGAGCAGTTCCACTCTGCCCTATAGGGTGGCTATGAGTCAGAATTGGCTTGACGGCAACAGGTTTGGTTTGGGTGTTTTTTTTTAATATGCGGTGCAAACAGTTAACGTGCTCGGCTGTTCACCAAAAGGTTGGAGGTTTGAGTCTACTTGGCAGAGCCTAGGAAGAAAGGCCTGGCAATCTACTTCCAAAAAAAATCAGCCACTGAAAATTCTATGGAGCTCAGTTCTACTCTGACACACATGGGGTTGCCATGAGTGGGGTTGACTCAATGACAACCAGTTTTGGTTTAGAGAGAGAGTATGTGGGAGAGGGAGCAGAGATACCCCACTGCCAAAAGGGGAAGTTGAGGATGTTGACAGAAGATAACAGGCAGCTCGAGGGTGCAAACGCTTCCTGTGAGCCAAGATGATAACACCAGCCGGGCCACACATGGACAAGGAGGAGGCACTTGATAAAATGTTCAGTGCTTCTGTAAATGCTGATCCAGGGGAGGATGCTCTCCGAAAAAAGAAGAGGTTCTCAGTAAGACGATTTCCGTTGCTCAACCCGCAGCAGCCAGCCGGACAGCGCCCTGGAGCAACACCAGTCCATCGCCATAAAGAGCTGCAGAACTAGCCTCCGCGTAAGTCGACTTCATCCCCACTTTTAGGGATTGTTGTTAGCTGTCATCAAGTTGCACCCCAGACTAATGGCGACCTCAAGCACAATGGAAGGAAACGCTGCCCAGCCCTTCACCATCCCCATGATCGGTTGTGGATTGAACTGTTGTGCTCCACAGGGTTTTCATGGGCTGATTGTCTGAAGCAGATCGCCAGACCTTTCTTCCTAGTCTGTCTTAGTCTGGAAGCTCCGCTGAAACCTGTTCAGCATCACAGCCACACTCAAGCCTCCACTGACAGACGGGTGGTGGCTGCACATGAGGTGCATTGCACATGAGGTGCATTGGCAGGGAATCGAACCCAGATCTCCCACCTTGAATTTAGAAAATCAGATCATCACCTCAGAAATCTGGTGAAAATGTAGATTTGGTTTTAGCAGGTCCAGGTGGGGCCAAGATTCTGCATTTCCAACAGGCTCCCAGGTGATGCTGATGCTGCTGGTCCACGGACCCCACTTTGAGTTGAGAGTTCTTTGCCACTTCAGAGTTTTAGGGACTTTACTGCACCTCCTTTTACGTCGTTGAGCATCTTCTGACACGCATGGGGTCGCCATGAGTTGGGCTCATCTCAACGGCAACTGTTTTTGTTGTTTTGCCAATGTATCTATGGGGCATAGTGGTTAACATGAGGTGCATTGGCCGGGAATGGAACCCGGGTCTCCCGCGTGGGATTCGAGAGTTCTTCCGCTGTGGCGCCATTCCATCATGGCCGTAACAAAGTAACGGAGGAAAAAGCCGTGGCAGCTTTGTCTGTTGCAGGGGGAAGGGAGAGGAAGAGGGTGGGCCTTTAATGGAAAAACTGCAATAGGGTCAGGGAAAAGAACAAAGGGCTTGGTGGGATCTCTGTCTCATGGGTTTGTAGACTGAGAAGCCAAGGTGGTGGGCACGAGGGTTGTTGAGTTGGGCTGATGTGCGTGGGGGGCTGTCTCACCTTGCCCACTCAGCTCTGTGTTCGGAATATTCTTAAACTATCAAAGTCACCGAGAGTCAGTCTGTCCTGTCTGCTCAGGCAAATGGTTTCAAAATATGAGTCCAGAGCCCTCAGGTGGGAAAAAAAAGCAGATGGTCAAACCAGAAGGGGCAGTGAACTTTCCCAGGCATCCACCTTCTGCCCAGCTGTTGCCATTTTCACCTGCCCAGGTGTATCCACCTTCTGCCAGGTGTTGCTATTTTGCGCCTGCTCGGGTGTATCCACCTTCTGCCAGGTGTTGCCATTTTCACCTGCCCAGGTGTATCCACCTTCAGCCCAGGTGTTGCTAGTTTGCACCTGCTTCGGGTGTATCCGTCTTCTGCTCAGATGGATCCACCTTCTGCCCAGGTGTTACCTTTTGCACCTGCCCAGGCGCTTCCTGTCCCTCCCCAGGGGGTTCAAGATAGTGCAGAGCGGCCATTCTCAGATGCCCCTCTGGGGTCTTGTTAAAAATGCAGATTGTAGTCCTGCAGGTCTGGGGTCAGAAGACATGCTGATTTCCCACCAGCTCCCAGGTGACGGCCCAGTGAGGTGGCCCAGGAGACGGAACATGGCTTGAGTGGGGCAGGAGCAAGCAAGACAGAAAGACCTCCTGAGGAAACAGTCCCAGGACAGGTGGTAGGCAGAGGCTGGGATGGGGCAGAACTGGACCTTCCTCCACTGTCCTGAGCAGAGCCCAGCCATGTCTGCAGCCAGCAGGGTTGGGCAAGTCCTCAAGAAAGCACCTGCATTCCAATTGACAGCTCAGGTGATTGCACCTGTGACCTGGAAGAGTTTAGCAGGAGGGCAAAGGTGAGAACTAGGTCAAAGGCAAGAGGGCATGGGTTCAGTGGTAGAATTCTCACCTTCCATGCAGGAGATCCACCCAGCACATCACAGAAGAAAAGACCTGATGATCTGCTTCCAAAAAGATTAAAGCCTAGAAAAACCGATGAAGCAGTTCTACTCTGTCACATGAGGTCACTGAGTCAGAATCGACTCGATGGCACCCAACAACAACAACATATTATATGTTACATGCTCTATCTTCCACCCTGCATCTTGTCTCTATCCTCCGCCTTGTGTCCACCCTCCGTCCAGTCCCCACTGTCTTTCTTACATCCACCCTCAGTCTTGTAGCTACCCTCCGTCCTCCGTCTTGTCTCCACTCTCCATCCTCCTTTTGTCTCTATCATCCACCCTGTATTTGACATCTATCCTGTATCCTTCCTCCATTTTCTATTCACCCTCCATTCACCATCTTGTATCCATTCTCCATCTTGTATCCACTCACCATCTTGTATCCGCCCACCGTCTTCTCTCCACACTCCATTTTGTATCCACCCCCAATCTTTAATCCATCCTCCATCTTGTCTCCATCCTCCATTTTGTGTCCACCCTCCATTCTGTCTCCACACTCCATCTTGTGTCCACCCTCCATCCTGTCCCCACCCTCCATCTTGTCTCCACTCAGCATCCTGTCTCCACCCACCATCTTGTCTCCATCCTCCATCTTGTCTCCATCCTCCATCCTGTCTCCATCCTCCATCTTGTCTCCATCCTCCATCTTGTCTCCACCCACCATCTTGTCTCCATCCTCCGTCTTGTATCTACCCACCATCTTATCTCCACCCTCCATCTTGTCTCCACCCTCCGTCTTATCTCCATCCCCCATCTTGTCTCCACCCCCCATCTTGTCTCCATCCTCCATCTTGTATCCTCCCACCATCTTGTCTCCATCCTCCATCCTGTCTCCACCCTCCATCTTGTCTCCACCCTCCATCTTGTCTTCATATGCCATCTCACTGGGATGGAGAGATTCTATCCCACTACAAAACTATGGGAGTTCCTGGGCGGTGCAAACTGTTAATGTGCTCAGCTGCTAACCAAAAGTTTAGAAGTTCGAGTCCACCCAGAGGTGCCTTCGAAGAAAAGCCTGGCGATCTACTTCTAAAAGATCAGCCACTGAAAACCCTGTGGAGCACAGTTCTACTCTGATGCACATGGGGTTGCCATGAGTCGGAGATGGCTCGACCGTTTTTGTTTGGTTTTGTTTTTATGTTTGTACTCAATTTGTTTGGGATTTAAGAAAAGCAGTCTTTGCACAAGAGGGCAATGGTGGCTCAGTGGTAGATTTCCTGCCTTCCACGCCTGAGACCCAGGTTCAATTCCCAGCCAATGCACCTCATGCACAGCCACCACCCGTCTGTCCATGGAAGCTTCTGTGTTACTGTGATGCTGAACAGGTTTCAATGAAGCTTCCAGACTAAGATGGACTAGGAAGAAAGGCCTGGAAATCTACCTCCAAAAATCAGCCAGTGAAAACCCTATGGATCTCAATGGTCTGATCCACAACCAATAATGGGGATGGTGCAGGACTGGGCAACATTTTGTTCCATTGTGCATGGGGTCACAGTGAGTCGGGTGACTCTATGGCAGCGAACAACAACAACAAGACAAGAGTCCTTATGGAGCAGTGGCGATTCAGTGGTGGTCTTGGTTATCCAGCACTGCTGTAACAGAAA